GTGTGTGTGTGTGTGTGTGTGTGTGTGTGTGTGTGTGTGTGTGTGTGTGTATATATACTGTTCTCGTCTATAATGTTCAAGAAATATTTGAAAAATTTAGAATATATTTAAAGTTATCGTTTTACATGCTAAAAACCAGTAAAGCAATGTAACAAATAGGCTTACAAATTTGAAAGTATTTGACCAATCTTTTTTCTCTGGGGTTATATTTTTTAAAGAAGTGGATCACAATAATAACATGGTATATGTAAATGTACATTATTTTATGTAACAACTAATATACTGTAATATTTACAAAGCATACAGCAAAACTTTAAATTAACAACTAGGCAGAGCATAGTCTTGCAATTTAACAGATTAGGTTCAATCCAGTTCAGCCCTTAGTAAAACTTCCTGTTATGCAATATTACAGGATATTATACAAACATTATCCTCTCCATTATAAATATTTAAGTCTATTTAAAATGTTTGTTATAGCTATAAAGCCAGAATTCTCATAAGTATACTAAAAGTAAAAGAACAATAGATTTCAAAAGCCTATAGCTGGCCTAATTATTAATTTACAACCACCATTACAATCCTTTTTAACAATATTTAATGAAGCACTAAATTTCTGATATATATTGAACATACTGATTGTCTGACATAAAAATGTAAAATACAAAGGGTGTGAATTTTGTATTCAGCCTACATAACATCCATCATATCAGGATGTACTATCATGCATAACTTTCACAAGTCCTTCAAATTTTGCATAACTGTTTGATACAAAAAAAAAAAAACTACCATGTATAACAAGTTAAAATATAGGTGTATTTAGCATAATGGATTGAATCTACATAATAGGTCGACTTTGCATAACATTAACAGGTAAATTAACCTGTCATGCTGAATTGGCATAATAAACAGATTAAATCCATTACACAAAATCATGCCATATTTTAACTGTAGTTCAGAAAACACCTATTTTAACTCATTATGCAGGTGACTGTTACTGTTGAGCATGATACACCCACAGTTTAACTTCTTATGCAGTCAACTTATGTATGATACACCCACAGTTTAACTTCTTATGCAGTCAACTTATGTATGATACACCCAAATTTCAACTTGCTATGCAGAATCAACCTCTTAACAGTGTTATGCAGAATGGCATCTTTTTTTTTCAACATCAACCATTTATGCAAGATAGTACATCCTCATCACAACATATTTCAGATTAAAAACGCAAGAGTATAAACAAAGTGAGAAAAAAAAAAGCCTTCCAACATTTAGTAGTACTAGTAGGTAGACCCTCACTTATCTACATCCCAAATAATTTTCAAAGCCCGAGTAAATCACACCATCATAAGTTTTACATCCCAATTTCTACTACTAGCACTACTAGCGAAAACAGGGTAAGTACAAGTACAACTAAATAATCAACTTAAACCCACTTTATCTAGTCTTACTATGATTATGAGTTCGCATCTTATTATCAGTTATAAATTGTAACAGTAACACCAGTAATACTAATAATATTAGTATTAGTAACTTATGCCTGACTAGTACTACCTAAGTACATCTACAAGCCTAATTTAGAATTATACGATTCTACTTCGATAGTATTTACAAAAACAAGTTACCAAGGGGATAGGTGTTGATACCAATAGGCAAAGTTAGTGACGTTAGCATAAGTTTACAACATTCACTAAGTACTAGAAAAATTGTAACTTTTACTTTTTTAGTCTATGGTTTCCGTGATATAATAATTATTTAATATAACAAGCTAAGTACAAATAAAAGTAGCTCAGTTCAACTGAAGTTAAAGTTAGAACTAACCTCCATTATAAAATTAAAACCGTCACAGACACCTAATCCTTGTAGGCCTATTCCCACTTGTAAGTTTTGTAAGCTTATCAGCCACTATTTCAACTCCCAACTGAAGTAGAATGTAAAATCGAAAGATACTAAACGATGTACAGATGCATAGAATATACTCTTATATCATAGAGATGGCAGCACCTATAATACAAACGTTTGTTAGAGATATTTTGAAACTATTAAGTGTGACTTAACCTAATACTTAACAATGTTCCATTTTTGGAATATTTTTTCTCTTTTATTACCTATCCCGATTAACTGCTCTGTAAACTTTTTATTTTAAGTGCTAATTTGAGTTCACATATTGAGTTTTTTGTTTTAATAAACTATTTTCTTAAATAATCAGCTATTTCGTTACGTGACTATTTGAATTGTGGCGAAATTTGAAGCGCATGGTAAATTGATAATATTTTATTATTGGAATATGATATTTAGGAATTATTCCTCAATATATTTAAGAGTTACTTTTCTATAATAATAATAATATGTATAAAACTATTATAACATCCAATTTATTCTGTAAAAATAACTTTCCATTCCATTTTTTTATTGGGTGTGTGAGCACCACATAAATTTTGATGTTCCTGTTTTGGAACATTAAACATTGTTTATACAGAAAAAGTTATTGTATCGATATTTGGGGAGATAGGTTTCGGTCATATTAGAAATGTTTTTACAGTACACCCATCTCTTGGGTTCAAATACCAGAATCAAAGTCAGAGATAACTAGCTTCTTTCTGTAACTAACATAACCTAGATGTACCTGGAAGTATGTGTCTTCATTCGCATTTAATCCCTAACAATTGGCCATTATAAGTTGATATTAGTAATGTCTTCACTCAGCGTACCTTGTACACAGAAAGGCCAGCTAGAGTCTTGGCAACTCCTACGTCAACTAGAAACTGTCTCTTGCCTTTGTACCTTTATTGGAATATACCAAACCCTACCTAGTCCTGGAAAAGATGGACTCTCTATAACATATTTTGGTACAAACTATTTGTTGCACTCCGCCTAGTTGGTGACCAGACCCAACCTGGTCTCGATTAAGTCCCCAGAGCCAAAGCAGAAGCAGTTACAGCTTGTTGACGATCATCCTGCACTTGCTGAGTAGTTGGAAAAACTCAATGTCTTACCAATATGGGGATGTTGCGTCAGCGAGGTCACGTGACTAGTATCACGCCACCTGTTTCTAGAAATATCCTGTTCCTTCAAGAATGCCCTAGCATTTACTAGGTATGTGTTAGTCTTGTATATATAAGACGTTCACAACGTGACGGGACAACAGAGGTAATGAGTAATTGAACTGAGTATTGTTGAAGTTGAGCACGTGAGACCTTCGTTGTTATAGCGTTTGTTATAGCGCGACTGTTGAAATTAAGTGTATCGCAAAGTTATATTCAGAAAGAATAAACCAGTTTTATATAAGAAAGGACTTGTGTCGCTAAGTTACGGAAAACTAACTAACGAACGGAGACGTAACAATATCAAGTCCTGGACAAACACATTTATTTACTGTGTTTTGTTAAGCTATAAACTTTGCATTTCAGTTGTTTGAAGTTTTCATTTTGGATTTCTAAGTAAAAGTAAAATATTTGTCAAAGTAAAATATTGTTGCGTCAGCGAGTCACATGACCACCGTGACGCAACGTTTCTAGAACTATCATGTACTTTGGCGAATGTTCAAGTTCTTACTAGAAATAGGGTACGCT